CACCGACGCACCGAGCCACCAACACACCGATCCGCCGACTCATCAACTCACCGACGCACAGACGCACAGACGCACAGACGCACAGTCGCACAGACGCACAGACGCACAGACGCACAGACGAGACGCACAGACGAGACGCACAGACGAGACGCACAGACGAGACGCACAGATGCAGAGACGCGCAGACGCGCAGACGCGCAGAGACACACACAGACACACACTCACAGACACTCGCAGATACGCGCCAGAGACACAGAGAGACACGCAGAGACACGCAGAGACAGGCAGAGACACGCAGAGACACGCATAGACACGCAGAGACACGCAGAGACACGACACACAGAGACACACAGAGACACACAGAGACACAGAAATGAGACACACAGAGACACAGAAATGAGACACACAGAGACACAGAGAGACACACAGAGACACACAGAGACACACACGCACAGAGAGACACAGAGGCACACAGAGACACACAGCGACACACAGAGACACCGACACACACACACACACATCACACACATCACACACACACACATCACTCACATCACACACACACACATCACACACATCAAACACATCACACACATCACACACATCACACACATCACACACACACATCACGCACATCACACACAGACATCAGACACACATCACGCACACATCACGCACACCACACACATCAGACACATCACACACACATCACACACATCACACACACATCACACACACACACACATATCACACACATATCACACAGACACGCATATCACGCACATCACACACACACACATACACATCACACACATCACACACATCACGCACATCACACACATCACACACACACACACACATCACACACATTACACACACATCACACACATCACACACACACATCACACACACATCACACACACACACCACACACATCACACACACACACACATCACACACATCACACACATCACACACACATCACGCACATCACACACATCACACACACACATCACACACATCACACACATCACACACATCACACACACATCACACACACACATCACACACACAACACACACATCACACACACACATCAGACACACATCACACACATCACACACATCACACACATCACACACACGCATCACACACACATCACACACATCACACACACACACATATCACACACACATATCACACACATATCACACACACACATATCACACACACGCATATCACGCACATCACACACACATACACATCACACACATCACACACATCACGCACATCACACACACACATCACACACACACACACATCACACGCTTTACACGCACATCACACATATCACACACACATCACACACACACAACACACACAACACACACATCACACACATCACACACATCGCACACATCACACACACACACGTCACACACACAGACACATCACACACACATCACACACATCGCACACATCACACACATACACACGTCACACACATCACACACATCACACACATCACACACATCACACACATCACACTCATCACAGAAACATCACACACATCACACAAACATCACACACATCACACATCACACACACACACATCACACACACACACACATCACACACATCACACACACATCACACACATCACACACACATCACACACATCAAACACATCACACACACATCACACACATCACACACACATCACGCACATCACACACAGACATCAGACACATCACGCACATCACACACATCACACACATCACGCACACATCACATCACACACATCACACACACACATCACACACACACACACATATCACACACATATCACACACACACGCATATCATGCACATCACACACACATACATATCACACACACACACACACACATCACACACATCACGCACATCACACACATCACACACATCACACACACACACACATCACACACACATCACACACATCACACACACACACATCGCACACACACACACACATGCGCAGCGCTTCTTGGCCTTTCGAGTTGCTTGTCAGTACTGCCTTAAGGTGCTGGATTCAGGGCTGGCATGCTGGCCATCAGGCTTCTTTGAGCTGTTGCTGTTTTGCATTCAATATTTGCATCACTTAATGCGCAGCACGTACACGCTGTTTTTGCTTTCTCTGCAGCATGCACTCTTACTTGAAGACTTGCGGCGGTACCGTGCCAGAGCCGCTGTCCTTGCGCTGCAGAGATAATCTCGGAAGCTGCGGAGCACCGGTCTCAGCGCCGAGGCAGCGTGGCGGGAGACTTTGTCATGAAGGGTCGTTTTAACATGGTGTCATGGGGCAGATATTCGTCGTTTTACCTCCGCTCCCAGTTCGACGTGCCAGGCGCGGCACTTCTGGCTAGTCTGGCCCTGACGCGATGGCAGGGACCCTGGGCCCAACCGGCGCAGAAGACTTGAAAATGAGATGTTCAGGAATGAGAAGCACGCTGAAGCTAAGGCGTGGTGAGAACAGCCTGTTGCAGTTGGCAAGTCACTGCAAGTCTTTTGCCAGGCACCACGACTGCATCGAAATGAAAGCAGCCGATCTCGCTTTGCAAGAAGTCAGAGTATCGGCCATAGGTTTGAAGATGGTGGTAAGACACGTTTGCAGCACGCACATGGTGACATGCAATGGACAGAGATTCGGATTGAGGCAGCAAAGCTTCTTCATGGGTTTCACTTGCTGAAGCAGAAGCAGACTCCCTGCCAGATCCGGAAAAGGCCTGCTGTGGCTGGATTGCTATTACTTGTGCTCAATTGACTAAACCCCTTGGAGTTCTGCGTGTGAGCGTCTGATTCTATTTTGGCAAGGGTGAGTGTCCATGGGGATGCAGTGCTGATGACTTCGAAAGATTAGTGCTACCCTCAGAGGCCTGAGAGCAGACTTGACCAGTGCCAAAACTGCCTTCGTTGACAGACACGCATTCGCCGCATTCTCATTCGTCACGATTGCTCAGGCAGAGTTGGGTGCTGGCTCCTGTGGAACAGTCACGAAGGTGTCCCACAAATTCACTGGTGAGGCCGCCGGGGAGTCTTCCTGCGAACGTGAGACAGCAGCATTTGCTGTTCCTTGCCTATGATGCCTACCGTAGGATCCAATCCTTTCCGCTGTTTTCCGCGCGCAGTGCTGCCCGGACCTGGAGGTTGCGGGACTTGTGCACAGGTCTTTGCGCTGAAGACCATCCAGCGTCAGCTCGTGCAGGACAACAAGCTGCAGGAATATGTGGCAAGGGAGGCGCAGCATCGTTCGGGCATGCCGGCATTCGCGGGAGGTGAGGCGATATCCCATCATCACCTAGACCTGTTCAGGGTGGTCTTGGGCATGAGTTCTATGTTGCATTGCAGTGACCTGTCAAGTTGCTCGGGGCTGGAACAGAGCGGGTTCTGCACTGGGTTAAGTTGTCAGCTGGACGTTTCGCTTGGCGTTTGCCTGGTTTTAGAGCGTTGCATTAGCACCAGCCTCAGACCAGCCCCACAGCCCCACATCTATAGCCAAGCCCAAGCCTGCCGAGACCCGCCCAAACAAAGCGCTAGCTGTAATGCGGGTTCAGGTGAAGATCCAAACTCTCCCCAGTTTGGACAAGCTCGATGGGCAATCGTTCGTGGCTGATGCCTGCCTGCCTGCCTGCCTGCCTGCCTGCCTGCCTGCCTGCCTGCCTGCCTGCCTGCCTGCCTGCCTGCCTGCCTGCCTGCCTGCCTGCCTGCCTTTGCAAGTGCTTGTGTAGGTGTGTGTCTGTCTCTGTGCATGTTTGTCTGCATGAGTCTGTTTGCGGTTTATTCCTTTTTTGTGCCTGTTTCTCTTTGTCTTTTTCTTCCGCATTATGTTTCTTTTTGCATTTATCTAATAGTCTTTCTCCCTGTCTCTGTCTCTGTCTTTGTCTGGGTCTCTGTTGTCTCTGTCTCTGCTTGTCTCTGTCTCTGCAGTCTCTGTCTCTGTCGCTGTATTTAGCTCTCTCGCTCTCTCTCTCTTTGTTTGTCTGTCAATCTCGTGTCGGCCTCTCATCACATCTGTGATGTTCTGGGTCGGTGTCTAGCCATGATTTTCGGTTCTTGTCGTCCAAAGTGTGGAAAACATGGTTGGAACAAAGAAGTGCGGGACCACGTGCGCAACAACTTTCCAGGTCTGGTTGGCTTGCACCCTTTTGATTCATAATGTTGGGCTTTGGGATGCATGATGCCCAGGGGAGGGGTTGGACAAATGCCAGGTGGCAACGCAGCAGAAGCTGAAGCACCCCAACATTGTGAGGCTTTGTGAGTACTTCGAGGCATCTCAGGTTCTGAGTATTTGACTCTAGGTTCTGAGTATGGCTGGCAGGACTCAGATCAAATTTACCTTCTTCTGGAATTTGTGCCTTGCGCAGCAGGAATCCGGGTAGGGGTGGCCACGAGCATGGGCGGCGATTTTGCCAATGGGTGGACACCCAAGGCTCCAGAAGGTTCTCTCTTCTCCAAGATTCGTGCACAGAACTGCATTGCCCATGCCGAGGTGCTGCCTTTGAGCTTTTTTGTTTGATGCTTGAAATCGGACGTATGCTGACAGATTTTGAGAGACCAACACGTGAGTTGGGTTGGAATAATATAGCTCGCGAATGCCAATGTTGGCTCGACTTGGCTTGATTTGCGGGTTGCTTGGCAGGCAGCCTCTATCTTTGTGGATGTCACCAGCGCTTTGATTCACCTGCACAGGCATGCAGATGGTTTTCCTTAGAAGTAACCTTGTCAGCTCAAGAATGCTTCACATTCAGAGCAAGTTGCCACGCATCGCTGCCTTTTCAGCTTGGTGACCCAGATATGCGGAAGGAA